GGGATAATGTTTTAGTGGCGCATGGCTCCGCAGCACAGCGCGTTAGTTTTCTCGCGCAGTGCGGCTCGGCTCGGCGCGGAGGCTCCTCTTTTTGCCGCCGGTTCCGCGATCGTGCCCGCCGACCCGTCCCGCGTCCCGCCGCCCCGCGCCCCATTTGATCCTCATTAGATGGCGCCCCGGCCTAAGGTCCGGCCGGGGCGTGGCGCGGCCAGGGCGGGCCGACCCCGCGCCGGCCCACTGCTATTAGTCCGTCTGCTTAATTTGAGCTGTTGCTAGCCGGCCGGTGGTCGCCGGACGAGACTATCCTGGTGGGTACACACGTTTTTGCGCGTGCTTTGCTTTAGATCCACGAAACCTGTCGCGCTGGTGAGAGAAAGAGAGGGCGACGCCGAACCGCGCGCGGAAACCACCAGTGCACCGCCCACCCACGCCTCGCGCTGCAAAACCGCAGCCCTGTACGTCACACATTCCGGGGCAGGCCGTCACCGCCAGCTCGGTCAGCCCGGCAGCCAGCCAGCCAACCAGCCAGCCAGCCACTGCTCGCGGTCATGCCGCGGAGCGCCCGTTAAGTGGGCGTGGCCGCCAGGCAAGGGCCGCCAGGCAGAGCCGCCAGGCAGCACCGCGCTCCGAACCCCAACAACACACGACGACCAGCCCCACCTGTTACGTGTTTCAGCTACTGTCGCGCTGCCGCTCAATGTGTCCGCGACACGAATAGGCTGTGTGTGTGTGTGTGTGTATGTGTGTGTGTGCGTGTGTGCGAGTGTGTGTGCGCGCCGCTCCAGTCGCGTTCCCAAACGCAGTACAACCCTATCGCTGGAGCAGGGCGAACAAGGGCCTACTGCCGGCGCGGCGCGTCGGTTGTCGCGTCGCGTTGTTGCTGTCGAGGTCCGCCGGCCTGCCGGGGAACCGTTGCACGCCGTCGAGAGGGGCCCTCGCCCTCACAAAGCATATCATTATCGTGGCGGCTGACAAAGACTCGCTTCGGGGACACGCGAAACGACGCCCCGCCGCGCCCGCCGCCGCGCCCCGCGATGCCGCGACCAAGATGGCGGGAAAAGTGGTCGTCGCTGTAGGGAGCATCAATCACAATCATGATCATGGTTACTGTCGACAAACAAACAAACAAACAAACACACACACACACACACACCGCAGCCATGCAGATGCGGTGGTCGCGACGGAGGGCGAGAGGCGCGAGAACACGACGGCCTGCACTGCGTGTAATGAGTAATGAACCGCTGAGAAAATCACACATGAGCCTCACAACAGCATCGCGATAACGAGGCCCGGGCCTGCAACAATGAATGATAAGTCATCTTGGCAGTGTAGCCGCCTTAGCCGCCTCGGCTTGGAAGTGTTGCAGCCGAGTGCATGCGGTGAGGGGAAGCCCGCGCTCGACGGTCTAGCAGTCCTGCCAACCGCCGCGGCGGTAAACTCCACCTCGGAACAGGAAGGAGGCTGGACTGGACCGAGACGACGAGGGTTTCATGAGGGATTTACGATGCGCTGGTGTGGCGTCCTTGGGCTAATCCCCTGGCCGTGCTGTCGCGCCTCGGGGCCTCGGCGAGGACCACCGGCCAAGGGCCCCAAGGGCCGCAAGGGCCAGGGCCAAGGTCGATGACTACCGCCGCGGCCCTTCGGACCCCAGGCCTTCAGGAAGGCGTTGGGAAGTCGCCGTGCCGCGCCCTTGTTTGAGGAAAAAGGGAATTGCGAGAAAAATAAAATAATTAGAGCCGCTTCGGACGGGCGTCGCGCCCAAGTCAGCCACTCAGCGGGCGCCTTAGACCGTCGCGCCTATCAAAGTCTTGAATCTGTGGCGCTGGAAGTCTGGAAGGCTGGAAGAAGGCTGCGGCTGGAAAGGGACAGGGCGACCGGCAGGGCAGGCAGGCTTTAATTAGCTCGCTCAAATGACGGTGATTCCCGAGCCACTTTGCTATCCCCGCATGCGAACGCAGCGAACGCCGTGGCGCGCCATGCGACAGTCCGCCGGTCCCTTGCCCCGCTTTCAGGGAAAACAAAGAGCGTCCGCCCCCGTGGAGAGGGCGCTGCGCAGTGACTGAACGAACCGCAGACCGGAATGAGATGCAGGATTTCAACAATTGTGAGGCTGGTGGTGCGCAGCAGTGGCCGACAGTGCCCAGTGCTCCGGATCACGGCTTCCATCTCGACCGCCTCGTCAAGCAGGCAGGATGTATGCACAGCGCACGCGGGGCGCCTGCCTGCCTGCCCGCCAGCCCGCCAGGCCGACTGCGTATTCGGTATTGAGAGGCCCAGCTACATCCGCTGGGGCTCATTGAACTGTGGGGCCGCGCCGCGCCGCGCCACGCCGCGGCACGCTAGGACCTTCCGAGACCCCATCACCGCGCAGTCCGCCTACAGATGTCATGTTCCCGTTACCCCCGGGGCCCGCGACGGCCCGGCCGGGCTGGCACACGCCCCACGCCGCCTCGCCACCCCGCCCCGCCGTCGAACGCGTATTCCCGTATTTACGCCTCGGCATCATTTTTTGTCGTCCCGTTGATGGGGTTCTGATGATGTTGATTGACACTGACTGATGGGCGGCGAGGCTGCGACGCGGCAACAGTGCTGTGGATCCAGAGGAGCGCGGCCACGGATCCTACTCCACTCGCAGGTACTCGCAGGGCGGCGGCCGCCGATGAGCACAGAGTCCCCGTTACGGCCCGGCCTCGGCCCGGCACGTGGCGGCGGGGGCGTGGCCGTGATCCTGGCCGTGATCATGGCGTCAGCCTCTACTTGGCGTGCAGCAGGGCGTGCGCGCACCCCGTATAGAAGTCAAGCCGGGGCCAAGCACGCCAAGCTCAAGCTCGGCGTGAGGTAGCGCGGCTGGCAGTGGCTAGGACCGCGCCTGCCAGGTGGGCCTCGCCGTGCGGCGCAAGGCGGCGCCGTGCCATTCCACGGTACGTATAATCCGGCACCGTTAGCGCAAAAGGCGTATCCGCGATGCCAGTTGCCGGCTCGGCACGGCACGGCACGGCCAGGCCCGGCACGGTCGCGTTCACACGCCGCTGCATGTCGCTGTCTCCGCCGAGCGGCCCGTCTTCGAGGAGGGTGACGACACCGGACAGAGCGGCACCGGCTCACACCTCGCGCGACGGTCGCAAGGTCAATTACATCCTCCCGGCGACCCTCCGAACCTCGCCGCGGCAGCATGGCGGCGAGGCCCGCGACGGAGCGGAGCCCCGACCCGCCGAGCGCAGGCCCTGTTCAATTAAAAGAGTCGTGAGTCGTGCCGCCGAGTCGCCGACTGGAGTCCGGGCACGCGACACGCCGCGACACACGGCTGGCGCAAGCTAGCGGACACCTACACCGGAAAAAGCCGGCCCGTTTCGTGGCTGTCTCTCTCGCACCCGTACGGAACGCCCCACGAGTGCGACAGACTCATCGGACGGGCGGCGTGCCTGCCCCGTGGCCCCGGGCGCCCCATTAGGGGTGATGTGGCCGCGGTGCCAACGCGGTGCCAACGCGGAGCCCCTGGCCGACCTGGTTGACGCTGCCGCGCCGCGACGCGCCGCGACGCCAATGCCAAGGTGAAGGTCCTCGTCGTGGAGCTCCACGTAACGTAGCCCCGACCCCGGCAGCACGGCGGCGTGGCGTGGCGGCGGCTGCATGTGGGCCCTGCGGCACCGTTAGCCCATTACTCGGGGCAGCCCCGCGCCGTGCCGCGCCGTGCCGCGCTGCTCCCCGCGCCGCTCCCCGCCGCGGCACCTGCCCGAACTAACGTATGTTAATTCGGTCGGCTTTTCATCGCGCAGTGTGTGGAGCACACGAGCAGGAGCTCGTCAACGAGACGACGGCGACGCGGGCCCCTCGGGGCGGTCGCTGGCGGAGGAGGAAGGGCAATGGCGCCGAGCACGGCGTCGAGTCGTCGAGCCAGGCCACCGGGTTAGCTCTAGAAGGGCCCCGGCAGGGCCCCGGGCCTCCAGGACCGGGATGAGCTGGCACGGGAAGGCGGTGGACTTTGAGGGGCAGACCAGACAGTCTGGGAACAGCAATTTCAATTTCGCCCACCGCAACGGCCCGCCACTCCTCAGGCCAGCCGGCATCCGCCATGATGTGGCAGGCCGGCGAGCAGCGAGCACACAGCTCTATCCTCGAGGGCAGTCCCACGCCGCCGTGCCCTGCCGCGCTGCCCTGCCATGCCGTGGCCCAGCCAGACCCACGAACTGCACCACCGTGCACGGCCGGCGTGGCGGGGCGGGGCGGGGCGCAGGGCCCGACACCGCGTGATTAAAGGGACCGCGCACATTAAGATTAAACAGAGTACACACCCGTTCTCACACTTATATTCACAACAATTTGTCTACTACTTTGTTTTGTGTGAGCGTGCGCACGTCGTGTGTTACTACGTCTGAGTGAGTGAGTGTGTGTGAGAGAGTGAGAGGAGAACTACGACGGATCTGGAAAGACAGAAAAAGACAAAAATACCAAGTGACTTATGACAGGATGACACCGTGGCCGCGAGCAGGACAAGAAGGTCGCCGCCGCGGTGGTGGGACGGCGGGACGGGCATTGAGGCCGCGCGGGTCCGACCCGTCCGGCCTGGAAGTCCGCGACAGGCAAAGGGGCCACGGCGACGGCCTTTGTGTGGGCGGCCGGGCCGGCCCAGCAGTCCTACGCATGTTAAACTTGACCGCGATGCCGGTTCCCGCCAGTGCACTGGCATCCACGAGGGGCACAAAGCGGATTCCACGGCGGCGCCCCGAAAGCCGAAAGTCCAGCGCAACGCGCACCCTGGGGATAGCAGACTGATTCCGAGGGTCGTTTTGGCCGCTCTGTCTCTCTCGCACTCATGAGGCGTTCCGCATGGGTGCGAGAGAGACAGAGCCACGAAAAACGTACGGCTCTCGGAATCAGTCTTCTGGGCCGGCCGTGGCCAATCGCCATTGAAACCCGCGGCCGCGTTCGGACTCGGACTCGCGGACACTGAGTTGGAATCCGACAGCACTGTCACGCTCTTCTCCCTCTCTCTGTTGCAGGGCGGTTCGTCCTGGGCCACGCGGGAGGCGCGGCCTGTCGACGTGTTCCTGGCCTTGGCGGTGGCGCTCGTGGTCATCGCCGTGCTATGCATCGCTGGACTCGCCATCTACCTCGGCGGTAAGTCCAACCGTCCAACCGTCGAACCGCAATCAGCGGCGGAGCGGCGGAGCGAGCCGCAGAGAGAGACGGCCGCCAGTTTCGGGGGCGTTGGCGCCTCTCCTCGGCGGGCGGGCTGGCGGGAAGATCCGGATTGGCTGCGCTCGGCTCGGCGCTCTGCGCAGCGCGAAGCCTCGCTATTTGCGGAAGGCCGGCGATAGCTCCTCAAAGCCACACCGCGATAGGGCAAACAGCCCCCAGTGCTTCGTCACTCCGTCTCTCTCGCACCCACACGGGACGCCCCATGAGTGCGAGAGAGACAGTCCCTGCCTGCCGGTAGTTCGCAACGAAGGCGGCGCGATGAACGACCCTCATTCTGGGAGACTTGAACGCGCGTGTCGCTCTCCGGCCAATCCGCCTGCCTCTCCGAGCTCTCCGATCGGCGGACGTGCGAGGGAGGCAGGGGCGCCTCGCCAGGAGACGCTGCGCGTGCTGACCTTTGCCGCCCCCACGGGGCCCTACTCCCATGCCAGTGATGGTATTACTTGACGCGAAAATAATTACAATTGGAAACGCCGACCGGCAATAGTGGCACTCGGCGCGGCGCTTTGAGTCTCGGAGCGGCGACGTCGGCCGATGAGAGACTCCGGAGTAGAGGGAGAGAGATGGAGAGACAGAGAGACGGACTCTACTTTGCCCTGCCGCCGGCGTGGCCAATCGTGATGAGAGTGTGAGTGAGCCGAGTTTGATGTCTGTTTTTCTCTTCTTGTTGCAGCCATGAGGATCGACGCCCGAAACAGTGAGTACTTCTTGCCAGGCAAAAGCCAAGCCGACCCTGCTGTGTAAACAGTTCTTCATTTATTTTTTCTAGAAGCTTGACTTTGGTGGTGGTGGTGTGAAGTCCATGTACTGAGGACGCAGAATGGAAACGGCGTTTTGCCGCCTTCGTTCCCTGCGCTTCCCTGTCCGCTGACTGCTCTTTCCTCTTTGCCGCGGCCGCAGCGGACATCGTCCTGGACGGCCGGCTGCAGGTGTCTGGCGGCGCGCCCTCCGCGCCGCAGCTGCAGCTCGCCCTGCTCAACTCGTCGTCTGCCGCCTTCCAGCAAGCGGCCCGCTTCTACACGACCCTGGTGAGCATCGCAGAGCACTGCAAAGACGGGAAACGCCCTTTCATTATTGCACACGCCACTGCGAGTAAGGGAATAGACGCACCTGCCGCGCCGTGCCGCCGTGCCCCAATGTCAAGGCCGCCAGCTCGAGTGCGCACACACACACACACACGCACGCACGCACACACACACACACACACATCGCGGCCCCGCGATGCCCGTACAGGGTGGGCCTGCTCCATTCGGGGCGTTTTTCTGCTCATCAATGAGAATGCCTCAGAATGAAAAGGACTTCCGTCTGCGGGCCACCGTTCGTGAGTGCATCGGCTGGAGTGGCTATTGCCCGCGCGCCAGGGGCATGCCAGGGGCAACCACACCGTCGCGGCCCTCTCCGTCGTGGTCCAGAGGTTGCGGGCTTATCAAAGTGAGGCCATGACGAGGCCATTACGGCGGCACAACAACGCCGGCCTGCCATTGCACTACTTGTCACTGGCGACCATCTCGCGGCGGGAAGGAGAAGCGCCTCCAGTTCCAGAGAGAGCGCCCCGCCCCGCCCCACCCCACCCCCGCCCCGCCCCGGGGTCGCGCCCCACCTCAAGCCACGAAATTAATTTAGTCCGCCTCCGCCGCCGGTTCGTTTCTCGCCGGGCAAACGTGCGCAGCGGCGCCGCCCCTGGCCGCATCAGACGACCGTCTGCAAAAAACAGTTTGAAGAACAGCGCAATTTTTGAAGTAATAGGGGACTGGGAGCGAGAGGGAAAGGGGCGAAGAGGGGCGGGACTGCCGGGACGCTGCCGCCGCCGCCGTCGTCGTCGCGTCTTTGCCGCGTTGCAATGCGGCGCGGAGCAGCGCGGCGTTCTCAGGCGTCGCTTCACGGCGACGCGACACGCGTCGTGGCGGTGCGGCCGGTGCGGCCGGCGCAGCGCGGCGCGCGGAAATATAGTAGTTTATCCCATTATGCAGCCGACTCAAGCAGAGAGCCGCGCCGGCCGGTGACACCGGTGACGCGGACGGGACGCTTAAAAAGTGCGCAAAGTGGCTGAAAAGAAAAGTGAGCCAATGGAATGCCAGTTATGGCTGCGCGAGCCGCAGCGCGCCGCGCTCCCGGCGTGCATGGCGACGATACACTGCCGCGAACGCGGAACACGGAGCACGCCAACGGCACGCCGACGGCGAGGCGGGATGACTCGCGCGGCGCGATGCAGCGCGATGCAGCGCGATGCCAACGATAAGGGGCGGTTTTAAAAGTGTACTGGGGCTGGGCCGGGCTGGCCGGGCTGCTGGGGGCAGGCTCGTGAGATTTGAAACACGATAAACCGTGTCTACCCTGCCCACTGCTAGTGCACTGCAAATGCACCGCGTGATTGGCGGGCCGCGCTGGGCTTTGTAGACGCATGGCGCGACTCGCCTTTTGTGCGTATCGAACCCGAGACTTCGCGCTCCGCGGGCGGGGACGCTGACCACCACCCTATGCTCTCCACTTGGCCTGATTCCCGTTCTTTGGCTGTTTGTCAGCTGGACCGCGTCTACAAGCGCAGCGAGCTGGGCCCGGCGCTCCGCTCCGCCTCCGTGAGGGGCTTCAGCCTGCGCAGCTCCACCCTGGTCGTGTTCTTCAGGCTTCAGCTGGATCGCAGGCGCACCACCACGTAAGTCCGACTGTCTGGCCGCTGGTCGCCAACAGCCCGCAACCAGCGCCACGCGCCACTGTGCGTCGTCACCCCGTTAGGCCGCCGGGACGCGAGGTGCTCAGAGGGTTCGGATTGATGGATTGCAGGATCGAGGTAGAGGAGGTGGCCAAAGGCGTGCTGGTGCAGGAGGCCACCGCGCTTAAGCCCATCGCCTTCACCGACATGCAGATGGACGCCGAGCACATCGTCATTAAACGTGAGTAGCCGCTGGCCGTTGCAGAGGAAGAAGCGCGCCGCGCGCGGTCCGACGTTGCGTATTCACACTGATGACCTCTCGGCAGGCCATGAAGAGCACCAGGACGACGAGGACTCGGAGCGGAAGAACGCGACTCGCACGGAGACGCAGGGCGCGGCGCCGGGCGGGCTGGGCGCCAAGGGGGACCACGCGCTGCCCGGACGACCCCCTCCGAGCCCCGCAGCCACCGTGTCCTCGCTGTCCGCCGTGACCACACGGCCGCTCGTCTTGTCCACCTCCAACCGAGGGCAGTCCGCCCGCCCGGCCCGCACCACCACCACGACCACCACAACCACCACCACAACGACGACCACGGCGCCGACGTCCGCTTGGGAGGACGCGACACTCACCTTCACGGGGTCGTTCATGGGGGCCTTCACGGGCGCGCCGGCCACCGAGATACTGAGCCGGAACCAAGCCGGCGGCCAAATCATGGCGCTGGACGACGCCGAGGTGGCCACCACCCTGCCGCCGGCGCCGCCCCCGCCATCGCCCCCGCCATCGCCCACCGAGGCCACCGAGCCAGCGAGGATGACGTCCGCCCGGCCCGTGGCGCCTCACGCTCCGCCGCACCCCACCGGCATGGTCGAGCCCATAGCCAAGGAGGATGTCATCGTGGACCCGTGGAACGCGCCGTACGGCGGCTCCGCGACGAGGAGACCGCCACCGATGTCCCCGCCGATTTCAATCCAGGAGGACGACGACGATCTGTCCTCGTGGAGGCCCGTCCGGCCAACGCACCAGCACCACGTCGCCACGGGTAGGCAGTCACTGCGCTTCAGTTGCGAGCCTGAGGGCGCCTGGCTGGTAGGCAACCCCCTGTATCCGGCACACGGGTGCATTCGGGTTGCCTACCGGCCAGGCGCTAGGACGCTAGGACACGCTCGGAGCGCCCAGCACTCAACTTCCTCCCTTGTTTCTGGTTCCAGCTGCCGCGGTACCGATCCTGCTGCCGACGGCCAGCGACGAGGACGACGGCGTTGCTGCGGTGGGCGTGGCCGAGGTTGTGGCCATCCCGTCGTCCGCGCTGGAGGGCTCCATCAACGTGACGCCCGGCGCGGCGCTGCCAGTCATCCCGGACGACGGCCCGCCCCCGCCCCCGCTGCCGCCGTCCGGGCCGCCCCCCTCGCTCCTGGACCGCCTCAGCCTCAGCCCGTCCGAGGCCTTCCGCCAGGACCTACTCCTGGAGCGCACCAACCAGTCGAGGCAGCCCGTCAGCGCGTACGCTGGCGACTTGGACGTCGGCGTGGACGTGCCCGTCGTGTCGGGCGTGGCCACCAGTGTGCAGAGCGCGCCGGGTGCGGTCGGTCGGCCCGGCGACACCATCTCCAAGATCTCGTTGATCGTGTCGGGCGAGGAGGACGACGAGGACTCGGAGACGAGCATTCTGCAGACAGGCAGTGGGTCCATTGTCATTAAGGACGATAGCCGTGCCGGCACCAGCACGACGTTGAGCACGACGGCCTCCACCACCACCACCGCCGCGACGAATCCGACGGCGACCTCTACCACCATCACCACCGCGCCGGCGCCCGCCACGACAGAGGCCTCCACCGTCAGGCAAGAAGTGGCCAAGGCGGAGATGCGGAACAGTAACATTCGCATGCCGGGGCTGTTCGCATTGCCGGACTTCCCGCTGCTTCAGCAGTTCCCGAACCTGCTCTCCGTCAAGCAGGCCATCGGGCAGGACGGCGAACCGGTGCAGCAAAGAGTGGAGCTGCAGCATCATCAACAGCAGCGAGTAGAACAACATCATGAGCAACATCAACAACGGGTGGACCTCCTGCAGCAGCAGCAGCAGAAGGTGGAGGAACAGAAAAGGATAGAGGAGAAGCCTCAGCAGCCAAGCGAGGAGCAGAGGACTGGCGGCACGACGACCGTCAAGCCCGCGGTGCCTTCGTCCGAGGAGTCGGTGACCATCGTCACCTTGCTGCCCGTCCGCTCGAACTCGGGCCTGCGGAGGCCGCTGCGCCGGAAGCCCCCGACCAAGCCGCAGCCGTCTGCCGTCCCGGTCCTTGTGGCCCCCGCCCTGGCGTCCCCCGCCTTGCCGCCCCCTACACTCGCAGCCCCCAGTCCACCGCCTCCTCCGACCACGGCCGCAACCCCCGCCCCTACAGAGCCGCAAACGCCCACGCCGCCGCCCAGCGCCGCGCAGAAGAAGCAGGAAGACAGCGCCAAGATCCTGTCCAGCTTGAAGCTGGTGCTGGAGTCCAGGCAGAGCCACTACACGTCCACGCCGGCGAGCAGCAACAGCAGCAAGTCTGGGCCGCAGCAGGGACAAGTGGACAGGATCACGCACTTCATCGTGCCGCCCGAGGGCCCGGCGCCCACGCCGCAGCGCGCCCACACCAACTTGGCTCACATCGAGAGGGTCACCACGGAGGCCGCACCCGCCAGCAGCACGGCCCCGAGCGCACAACCCTCGGCAAGCACGACGGCGGTGAAGAAGCAGCAGCTGCAGCCGCAGGCAGCAGTCACCAGCAGGACGCCGCCGAGCCGCGGCGTGGCCAAGCCCGGCAACAAGACGTCCACCCAGACGCGGGCGCAGCCACCGCGGGCGCAACCACCGCGTGCGGGCGGTGCGGGCGCCCCCGCCAAGCGCACCCCCCCGAGGCCGTCCGCCCAGCGAGTGCCGCGGCCTCAACAGGCCAGCAGCCGCCTCAAGGAGACCGTGGTGCGCACCAACGTCAACATCGGCAGCAGCGGGCGCAGGAACGGTCCGGGCCAGGTGGGCCAGGCGTCGGGCCAGGCCTCGGGCCAGGTGCAGACCGGCGTGGCCGTGCCGCGGCCGCCCTCGGACACGGCAGTGCGTGGCGAGGGGAAGGTCACCATGGAGAGGGTGCTGACGCTCGCCGCCAAAAAGGGCGACGACGTGGAGATGGTGCATGTCAAGTCCCCTGACGCCGAGGTCACTGCGTCACCGGTGACTGCCGCCGCACCGACCGGAACGCTCAGTCCTGTGGCGCGCCAGGGCAAGATGCACGGCGCGAGGGTGGACCCGGCCAGACCGCGCGACGCTCCTGGCGCCGCCTTTGCGGTGGAGAAGGTAGACTTTGGTCCCGACTGGGAAGCGGTCGCGGCGGACAGACTCTCCGAACGCGTTTGGTTAGAGTTGGTCGAGAACTTTTCTCGTTACCGCAGAATGGCCGCCATGGCCGCGCTGGCGGCAGAGGACCCTGCCTCGCCTGCCTCGACGGCAACGTCGCCGTCCTCCCCGGCAGCCCGCAGTGTAAGTGCGTCGTCCAATAGGTACTTGCATTATGAGCCCGTTAGAGTGCAGTGACAGTGATGATGCCATTCGGGACACATGTCGCCGCACCAGTCATTTTTCATTTAGTCATTTCATTTATTAGACGCAGTAATTTTATTTTTTGTAATTGGCCGCGATCCTCGCGCAAAGAGTGTGTATAGTTTGTACATAACATTATTTATTTATAATGACCAATGCCTAGTGATAGCTTCGAATCCATTGGCCGCGCGGCTTCCACCTTTCTGGACTCTAGTTTAGATGAAGCTACTCGCAGAATTAAACGCCGCGGCTCGCTGATACTGGATGACGTACTTGCTTGCAGTTGCCGGGGGGCGGGGCCGGCGGGGCGCCTGGGGCGGCGCCAGGGGCAGGGCCGGCAGGGCAGGACGGGGGGTTGACGATGACGACAGTGGTCGCGACCACACCCTCGACCAAGTCCACCGCCACCCCGACCAAGTCCTCGACCCCGAAACCCCACCGGACCGTGGCGGTTAATGCAACCAAGCCCACCAGCACGAAGACCGCCGTTAGCAAGCCGAGCTACAAGCCGACTGGCGTTGCCAGCGTTGCCCTCAAGCCCAACTCCACCAAGCCTAGCCCAACGACTCACAAGCCAGTACCCATTGCGTCGCCGCCGAAGCCTGCTGCCTCGGTGACCAGACCTGTCATCGCAAAGCTGGCGGCCAAGACGCCTCAAAATTCCACCAAAACAAACTTGAGTACAACGTCCAGCAAGCCCCCAACTACATCAAGCAAACCCGTGACGAAGAACGCCTCATCGCTGGCGAAGCCCTCTACAGCGAAACCTTTGACAAGACCGCCACCGGCCTCAACGCCAATCAAGCCCGCTTTGAAGACAGCGGCAGGCATCACGAGGAAGCCCCCGACGAAGCCTGCGACAAAGCCTCCAACCAAGACCTCCCCCGTCCCGAGGCCATCTCCAAAGCCCTTCGCGACGACGGAGGCGCGGCCTGCAGCCAGCACCGCGCCCCCGACCACCACCTCCACGACGACCTCCATCCCCATGACGTCTCCGCCGCAAAGCCTTCTGGCGGACGCCACCGACGAGCCCCCACCGCCACCGGCACTCGGGGTGGGCTTGGCGCTACCACCGCCGCCCCCAGTCCCCGAGCCCAGCCCGCTGGAGAAGACGGAGGCCCAGCGGAACCGCACGGCGCAGCTGGTGGCGGCCATTCGCGCCGCCGTGGGGCTGCCGGCCAAGTCCGTGTCGTCGTCCTCCACCAAGCTGGCGGCCAACGCGGTGGGGGCGGCGCTGCCGCACAAGGAGCTGCACAAGGCGCCGCCCACCACCACGCCGTCGACGACCACCACGACGGGCGGCGGTGCGGAAGTTGACGAAGACCTGGCGGACGCCGCCAATGCCACAGGTTATCACGATTGCCTCCCTCATGTACCTTCTGATGCTGAAAGTGAAATCCACCCCTCGGGGAGCTAACCCGACTTCTTGCACTGCCTTCGCCTCAGACTGCAGTGAGGGCCTCCAGTGCGGCGACGGCTCCTGCGTGTCCGCCGTGTCGCGCTGCAACCAGCTCGTGGACTGCGTGGACGGCGCGGACGAGCGCGGCTGCTCCTGCGCAGACTACCTCCGCGCCAAGTTCATGCACCGCAAGCTGTGCGACGGCGTGGTGGACTGCTGGGACTACAGCGACGAGAGCAACTGCGGTGAGTGCCGTGACGGACCCCTCCAGTACGGCCGCCCCTGTGAAGGCCTCCGCCTCGACCAACACGAGGACGCCTCTCTTGTTGCAGACTGGTGCGAGCCGGGCCGATACGTGTGCCCTAGCTCCCGCGTCTGCGTCGACAAGTCCAAGCTGTGCGACGGGCAGCGCGACTGTCCGTACGGCGACGACGAGAAGCAGTGCGTCTCCGTGGCCCCGGACGCGCGAGCCGCGGACGACTTCGTGTACCACAACCAAGGTAAGGCTATCCTGGGCGGACATTGGACTCTAGTGTGCCGTGCGGTCCAAACCGTCAACGATTTGCTCCTCCTTGCGCAGGGTTCGTGATGGTGCGGCGCCAGGGCCAGTGGGGCAAGCTGTGCGCGAGGGGCATCGTCAACGTGGGCGGCGACCCCGGCCCCGGCAGCAAGTCCACGGCCCCCACCCACCCCTGGGGCCCCATGCAGCTGGGCGAGGTCGTGTGCAAGGCGCTCACTTTCAGGTACGTTCGCGAAGCAGCAGGCGATGCCAGCTCCAAACCGGAGAGAGACGACGATGCCTCACAACGACCTTCTTGTCCTGCAGCGGCGTGGCGACGGCACAGCTGGTCGACACCGGCGGGGACAAGGCCCAGGACGACACGCCGTTCTTCGAGACAGCCATCAACGCCCGGAACGCGACGGACGAGAGAAGGTGAAGAGGGCGGTTGGCACTTATTGGCTCTCGGTGGCCGAGACTGCAGTAACACAGTAGCAGACCTGACCGTCTCTTGTCCTTCCCAGCAGCAGGCACCAGGCCTTCGTGGAGTCCGAGTGCCCGGGCAGGCAAGCCCTCCGCGTGTCCTGCCAGAGTCTGCTCTGCGGGGAGCGACCCCAGGCCACGTCGCACTGGGCCCGGTGAGTCCTGCCGTCCGCTGCCGTCCTGACGCCCTATCTTGCTTTGTTTCCTGGAAAAAATCGCTGCCGTCCGGGCCACTGGAACTGAACAACCCCTCTTGTGCTCCAGGTCTCACTCGTCCTCGCGGTCCTCGCTGGCGACGGGGCTGACGGGGCGCCGGGCCCGGATCGTCGGCGGCACCAACTCGGGCCCAGGTGCGTGGCCGTGGCAGGCCGCGCTCTACAAGGAGGGCGAGTTCCAGTGCGGGGCCACGCTCATCTCGGACCGCTGGCTGCTGTCCGCCGGCCACTGCTTCTACCAGTGAGTGCTCCAGACTCCCTTCCTTCCCTCCTTTGTGTGCAAAGCGACCTAAACTGGGCGTGGCGTTCGGGTTGACGCAGCGCCCTGGACGACTTCTGGGTGGCGAGGCTCGGCGCGCTGCGGCGCGGCACGGACTTCGCGTCGCCCTACGAGCAGCTGAGGCCGCTGTCCGCCGTCGTGCTCCACCCCGGCTACGTGGACGCCGGCTTCATCAACGACATCTCTCTGCTGCGGATGCGAGAGCCGGTGAGTTCCGCCTTCCCGTCCCTCCTTCAAATAATAACAATTGATCATTTGAAGCAACGGCAACCATGTTTTCCAGGTGCTGTTCAGCGACTACATCCGCCCCATCTGCCTGCCGTCGCCCAGCGCCGTCCTCAAGGACGGCACCATGTGCACCGTCGTCGGCTGGGGGCAGCTGTTCGAAGTCGGCCGAGTATTTCGTGAGTAGTTCTAGTTCCCACAACAATCCCCACCGCCGATGATCAAATCCCAACTAACGAAACCATTTTCTTGCCCGCGTGCGCGTGCAGCGGACACCCTGCAGGAGGTACAGCTGCCCACCATCTCGACGGCCGAGTGTCGCCGCAGGACGCTGTTCCTGCCGCTGTACAGGGTCACGGACAACATGTTCTGCGCGGGGTTCGACCGCGGGGGGCGGGACGCCTGCCTGGGAGACTCGGGCGGGCCCCTCATGTGCCAGGTAAGCGCTTGAAAGCGCCGCAGATGGGAGAAGGTGGACGCGTTTCATCGCTCTCCTCGCCAACTTGCCTTGGTCAACGGGTCTTGGTCGCGTTGCAGGAAGCGGACGGCCGGTGGACCCTGCACGGCGTGACGAGCAATGGGTACGGCTGCGCGCGCGCCGACCGGCCGGGCGTCTACACCAAGGTGGTCAACTACGTGCGCTGGGTGCGCGGCGTGACGGAGGGCGGCGAGGTGTCGCACCAGGTGGCCCAGGCGCTGCGGGACGCCAAGACCGCCTGCAACGGCCACCGGTGTCCCCTGGGCCAGTGCCTGCCCGCCAACCGAGTGTGCAACGGCTTCATCGAGTGCAGCGACGGCTCGGACGAGAAGGGCTGCTGGTAGGGCCAGTGTCCAGTTCATCCAGTACGCCTGGAACCCGGCCTGGAACCCCTCGGCAATGCCCAGGCAATTTGTTTGCCCCGGCCTGTGGAGCAACGAGGGTCCCCTTTTCTGATGACTACCTCCTCACTGGACTCAGGACCAGAGTAATGGCCCTGTGCAACTGCAATGAATGTGATACTCAACAGTTATGCCCCCATAGTCTCCAGAAAATGACTGTCGTGTCCAGGATGTGGAATAATGCCGCAGGAAACCAGGATATGTTAGAATAAAGCTGGAAACAGCGTCTTTTCTGTGCCAATGGATTGATCTTGTAAAGCTTACCATAACTTAAGTTTGTATTGTATTATAGCTTTAATTTTTGACTGTTTAGAGGTGATAAATGTAGTAAGAGCATGCATATGTCAATGGAAATAGAACTGTTTCCTAAGGAAGAGTGATATTAATACATCTAAGAAGAGTAATTTTAATTTTTTAAGTAGTACCTGTTTCAACTTAGTATTGAATATCGATAGCTTTGATGTAGCTTTAAGGACTGCATGCTCAATCTAATGTCACACCATGGCATTGTGTTCTTATAGAACCAATGTACCGCCATTAAAATAATGATTGTTTGTGTCGAGATTCCTGCACTTTTCTGAACTTTGCAGTTTGCAATAGGAATAGAATAAAACGAACCATAATCCAAATTAAATGCTCACACTTTTGATTTAATCATAGAAAAACAAAACAAACAACACATCAATTGATGCAAAATGACAAGAAAGTCTCACAATGAATGAAAATATTCAAGATAACTAAGCTAACTAAGAAACACAAAAATTGCACATGTCCAGTAGCACATCACAGACATTAAGTGTTTAAATTGTTAAAATATTCAGGATGTGAAGAATATCATATAATTATAATATTAATTTGTAGTTTTTTTTTGTACCCATCTCTCAAATCCAGCATTTTGTTTCACAGGGATGTGGTCATGCTGAGGGAGTCACACAGGAACATTACAGTGATCTTTGCAAAACTGAAGTACTATGCTTGTACAAACAGTAGTCAAGAAGAAAGAAAGAGTCTCTGCACTGTGTATACGTAAGAATTGTATACCATTTTCATTTAATGAAGTCATACAGTCTGGAACCAGTCTTCATTCATCAGTCAAGCAGACAAAAGTAATCATAACACAGCACATACTACAAATATGGATACTTCTATTTTAAAAAAAAAAGGCCTCTGATATCAGTATTAATTAAGGGAACGATAGACATATGCCAAGCTTTTCAAATAAATTATACATAGGATACTGAATCTTGATAGAACACATTTCAGAATAACCACTAATTCTCACCAACAAGAACACTCACTACATATGTATAGCATAACCCTTTAGAAGGAATATGGAATGCTTTTTGTCACAATATTTTTAAAAAATGTCATCACAGGGAAAAGTGCTTTGAAAGATTAACACATGGACTGCAAGGGCACCACCCGGGCAGGTGGTCAAAATCTCATTTTACTACAAGACCTCTAGCAGTCAAAGTGCTAAAAACATATGACTGCAGAAAAGGTTCAGAAGTGACATGCGGATGTGCACACACAATAAGGTTTACTACTATGAAACAAAAGGGCTAGTAAAGAAAGTAAATAAAAAAAAGATGGCAGCCACTAACATTAACACATGTTTGTACCTTTCAGATGAGTTTGAATCGAACAAACTTTAAGTTGGCAGTAAACTCATGGAAAAATTGAATCAACTAAACAAATATTTACATTCCCACACTAAATGCTACACAGTTAACAAAAATAATAATAGAACACACAAATGTGTATGACCACAACCAAATTTGGATTTTACTAAGGTAAACTTGTACTTTGTCATAGATTGAGTAAACATACAAGACTACTACTTATCACACATAGTAAAGGAAAAAGGAAGGAAATTAATTAAATGTCTACACAACTCACTATGTAATGAACAGGAACATACATTAAGGTTAAAATGACATCAGAATGCCAGACACATAAGACAAGCAAAATGGAATGAATCAATATCATTGATGGGAAAAATGATTACATTTTTGGCCAGCATGTGAAATTTAACTCCATCCAAAACACAAAAAATCTGACCAATCTAGTGTAACACAAACACATTCTCAAATCAGAATCACCCAAAGATTCTCCATTTTAAGTACATGATTTAAGAGTAGAAATACAAGAAAAAACACCAAGCATAATTAAAGTCTTGGCTGATTGGCAGTTACGGTTCTACCACCTTGAAATTTTGGTGGTGTATCAATCCACAGGAGACACTGAAGAAGACCCAAGAGGCTGTGGCTCCCATAAAAGATTTTATGTTTATCTTTATAATACACCATGATCATCCAAGCCTATTTGAGCATTCAAGTAATGACTTGTTTTAGGTATAGACACAAATTCTTTGAAAACTTATCACCAGCTATTATACTTTGCAAGGTCAGTCATCCAATCCTCAGAATTCCGAACACCATGCCCATTAGGCAAAAGATTTTGGTTACCATCACTACTTCTTATGCGGCCAGTCTTTTCATCTGGGATTTGTTCAACAGCCCCAGGACAGGTATTCTTCAAAGATGAATTAGAAATATCCCTTTCTAATTGAGCACCATTACTTTGTGGCTTTTCCTTTATTGGGCCCACCGGCTCCAAGTCATGTGAATTACTGAAATACTTCGAAGTCACCGTCACCTTATCAGGTTTAGGATCAGTGTCCATGGGGCTTGGGGATTTATTTTCTCTCTTGACACTCTCAAATGACTCATCAATAAGCAATCCATCATGAGACTTTATGCTCTGACTTTCACTCCCCTCCTCATCATCTTGATATGAATCACCAAGATCAAATTCTGGCAGACCATCTGAACCAGGAAATGCTTCAGATTCTTGCCCCCGTCTTCTGAAAAGAGATCACGGCACAAAATAAAATATGGATCAATTATGTTCCTAGAAGTTCTAATGTGCTAAGGTCTAATATAACTTACCTTGAATCTAAGTTAGCATGATGAACATTGCGTAAATGCCTCAAAAGATGATCTCTGCGACTAAGAATTTTATTGCACATTGGACACTGCATGGGAGCATTTTTTCTGGAATGAAATAAAGGGGAGGTACATAAATCATGAGACACAGATTTCTCAATTCTACCTAAACATGCTCTCTACCAACAATTGGTCTAAAAAAAAAAGAGACATTACAATAGAATCTACAAACACAAATTTAGCATTCATTATCAATTTTCATGATGCCTAATAGAGAGAACGAATCAAGTGCAAAAGCTAACTACAATAAAAATAAATTACTAGGCAGCGAGTGCAGCATTCAGATTGTTCTCCAAGAACTCACATGAAAGAGTTAGTCTGAGCTGCCTGAGGTCCTGGACTTGGGTTCACAATAATCTTCTCACTGAGACATTCAAACAGAACCAATAGTTCATGTACTTGTTCTACGGAGCAAAATATTGTGAAGGAACAATTTAAATCCCATTTCTCTTTCAGGCTTTCCCTGATAAAATGATTTTCTAACAAATACATAAGAATGGCTTCTTTTCACCATGAATGGGAAATCTGAAGCAATCTTTGATACGAAATAACCTTCTACAACAAACTCAAGACCAATAGAATGTTAAGGAGAAACAAACAACACAAACACACATACAAACACATTTGTGAGAAGAAACACAAAGGGAGCATGCATTTTTTTTCTGGCTAAATTGTGTACTGTCATATTAAAGCAACAGTTGATATCTAAAAAAAGGAATTCATTTCAGACTACCTAGATCTGTGGTCGACTCGTAAGACCCATGTTTCTACAAACATAAATATAAGTAATGATTAAAATAACACTTACGGTGCACTATGGGCTGGGAGTTGTACAATACCATGCATTCGCATCATATGTCGCTAAAACATTAAAAGAGATGTAGATAATAACAACAATAGCTCTGAAGTAGGGTGAGGTATTAGAAATACAGTGGTTCTTTATCTTACCTTTAAATGGTCAGGACGCAAAAAGGCAGTGGTGCAAACATCACAGTTGTACCGCCGTACATTGTTGTGGGAATCTTCATGCCTTCGTAAATGGTTCTTGTACTTGAACTTGGCTTTGCATACACTGCAAGTAAATGTATACGAAGCTCTTTCTGCCGCACAAGCCTGCATCATAACATTTTTGTAGAAAACATCCAACTTACAAAATAGTTCTAACAAAAACATCCAAAACTCACTTTGAAATTGTGGGTTTGAAAGGAATTATTATCACTGAATTGTTTTAAACAAGTTGGACAACGAAAATCAGGTAGTTTTTCTTTTTCATGTTTTTCATCTAATTTACGCCTCTCTATCTCAGCTGCTTTCTCCTGTCTTTTAGCTTCAATCAGTGCAGCCCTGAAAAATGGCAGAAAGACAAAAGTTCTTGAGTTACCTTCTGATGGCTAAAGTAATGGTGAAACAGTCTGGCCTCTTGGTGTATTGCTAAGATAGTACAAAATGAGAACTAATTGACTTATCACTGACCTTTCCATACGTAAGGCAATCGGTAAACCACACTGAGCCTCATGGCGTATAAATGCTGCTTTGTATTTGAAAACACGTTGACAGCCAGTGCATACCATTTCTTCTCTAGGTGTTAGTCGTATAGCATCAGAATTCCTGCCATTTCTTGCAGGTGACATGAGGGCAAAGTTTGCAGGTTTCCCACCTATTCTTTGAACACTAACAGGTCGGCCAGGTGTTCTTGTGACTGTAATGGTTACAGACTCATCCATACCTTTGATTGGTGTTGTCTTACTAGAGTTGGGAGGGTTAGAACAAATTCTCCTGGAAAAACACATAAAATGAATAACAAAGATGAAACACGAATTTTACTCTCTGTATGATGGCTCAGATAAAGCCAAACACATACTCGTTATCTTCGTCAGTCCCCTGATTGAGGACAACTTCAACCAGGTTCATCGCCTCCATTGCTGCAGATTTGTAATGAGGGGGTCGATGATGACTTGATGCGCGCAAGAATTACAATCTGAAACACACCAAACAAGTTTACCATATTAAGGTCTGATGTAGGTTATGAGAATCTATACTTGACCTACACTAATATCTGATCATGATCCCAATACCAGCAAAAGGCTTGATTCCCAAAAAACGAAAAGCATCAAGCATGAGGCAATATCTAGAGATATTTAACACAGGAATTTTATGAAACAGGAACAGCACAAAATAAAATTAAAAGACAAAATAACATTTCACTACAGGTGATTGCCACTTTGAAGTTTCAGAGTTCCGAGGTGACGACCAGGATGAAACGAACTCTAGAGAAACGCGGGCACACCCACACGGAGAGGTCCCCTTTCGTCCTTCCATGTGTCATGCAATTCTTGCACTGCCGGTTCAAAAACTCTCGGACGAGGATAACGTTTGCGTCTGCTGTCTCTGCAAGCCGTTGCGTCGTCCGCCACTCGCCACTCTTCACATCAGTCAAAACGCAGGCTAGCCGCGAACGCAAGTCAAGTGGCTCTTTACCTCTCAGCTCCAATCAAATTCGTGTTTCACATCCTGTAAAAGACCCGAAGGTAGCATAATCCGTCTGTTTTTGAGCGGTAAAAGTGCAATATTTGGCATGACAGGCGGTCAACACATGATCAGGCTTCAGCCGCAGCCGCCCCTCCCCTCTCCTTTGGCTTGGCCCCGCTTTCCCCACGACCCACGACGTGGCTGAGGCTGAGGGTGGGGGAGGAGAAGAGAAGGGTTTACGAGAGGTTTGAGTAACCTTTCCTTTCTCCTCTCCCCTCACCCACTTTCCGCGGCAAGTGAAGGAACGCGCTGTGATTGGCTATCCCAGTCACGTGGGTACAGGGCGCCGCCATTTTGGAGTGCAGCCATTGCCAGCGTCGGAAAACCCAAAAACTAGTTTCCACCTCGTTTGCACTTTACAAATAAATTATTTTACTAAATAGACTCAAATTTGGCTGCTTAAAATGCTTAAAAAAATAAAATAAAACTGTAAAGAGACTGTGTTTTTATGAATGTAAGCGAAGGCATTGGTTGTGATAGTTGGCAACAACTTCTGACCCGCGCGTGCACAGTCGTCTGCTGCCGACCTAACCTAACGTTCACGTTCCCGAATCGATAAAAAGAGCACGCTGAACACGTTTATGGCACTTCTTTAGTCGCCAAACTCATTTATAATGGCAAACTGGCCGAATTTTTGGAGGCTATCAAGATTTGTAAACGTTTGTGGTTGCAGCGAAGGTCCGCCATTTTGGAGTGCAGTGGCTATGGGCCGTGTCGAGCCAGCCGATAGTGCGAATAGTGTGTGTGCTGCAAATAAAATGACAACTTCTGCCAAACTCGGAACGTCAAAGGCAAGAAACGCTCATTTAACTTTGTCTTTTGCATGACAATGAAAGAGCTTAATGTGTTTTTTCTCTTTGTTTACTCTAAAGTAATTTCTAAGCAAAAGATTGCTCATTCATACCGCCCAAACGAGTGACGCAACTCGGCACATGTGGAAGCTCAGAAAATTCGTCTGCTACACCCCCACTCCCCACTCCATTCTACTTGTGTTGCAAAACTTTGGTTGAAAATAATTTCAGTTCGTAAATATTTACTTCTGAAGGATTTGTGCGATGATTTCAAGGTCTGTACGGTCAGGTTGAAGTCTAGCATGCTGTCGTGCAAGCGGCATTTCTTTTGATTGAAGATATTGATCCCACACTTGTAAAGTTAACTTCATAAGCAAGTGCTCTTGAGCAAACAACTGTGGGTCACACTTATCGTGTCATTCAAGAAGATGCCAACCATCGGGCATTCGCAGTCATGCATTCAATGATCGGCTGTATACCTACTGGTGTCTCAGGCCTTTACGGACTGTTGGTCAGTGTCCGATCGGAGGAGGTACATATTTACACTTGAAAACTGGAACAGCTCTTCAGTTTGTTATTGAAGGGTTATGTTCGTGATCGTAAAAGTCGTAATATATATTATTCCTCACTTAATGCGCCTCGTTCACTAATTCTCGGGTATTTACAGAAGTTTTTCTTAAGTCTTAAAAAGTCATCCAAGCTGCATGGATTGCTTCATTTATATCTCCCTGTCACTCATCGGTTTCTATATTTACATGACATTCTATTTGTTACCTGTTTGCACTGCAATTTAGTTTTCACATTTGAAATTGAAGTCCTGTCTCTTTTCTTTTTCAGATGGCACACAATGAACGTTTTCTGTTGTGAAGGGGCTCTCCAATTATCCATGTTCGAAGCTGTGAGGTGGATTTGAAATGGCACCAATAGCACTGTTGTTCATGTGACAGTCTTTTTGAGATGTCTTTACCATCAGATGACAAAGGCTACCCACAAGTCAAGTTTTTAATCAAAGACCCGAAGTTTTGGGTATAAGTACTTTTATCATTGAGGATATCCCATCAAGATACAAAATGACTATGTCAGATACCATTCATACCATCGAGTGGGACATGATGGACAAAAGTAAATTTTTCCCTCTTAGCATGTTAAGCTCGTTCACGGTACGATGTTGCCTTTATCCTCTTACTGTAATAAAAACTAGGCTCCAAGTGCAGCGGCATGATCAAATGTACAAAGGTAATGAAAACCTATTTTTCTACTATTTGTGAAATTGTGGATCCAATCCGTTTGACATTTTGAGTTTGTTCACAGGCATGGGTGATGCCTGGAAGAAGATATACACCATGGAGGGTGTTGGAGGCTTGTATCGTGGATTTTGGATTAGTTCTATTCAGATTGTGTCAGGTGTTTTTTACATTACTACCTACGAAGGTGTGAGACATGTGCTTGGACAAGCTGGATTTAACCCTCGACTCAAGGCTCTGGCTGGAGGGGGGGCAGCCTCTTTAGTAGGACAAACAATTATTGTCCCTTTTGATGTTTTAAGTCAGCATCTAATGGTGTTAGGATTTACCAAACAAGGGGTCAAACCCAATGCTGAGGCAAGTATAAAGTCACTCTTACTGAGGTTTTCTCTCCTCTTTGTTCCTAATATATGTGACTATTTTTTCAGATGGTTATGAACCCACTAGGCATTGCATTGGATAGAAATAATTCACGGTTCAAGACAACAATGGATATAGTCTCTGCCATATATCGTAGAGATGGGCTCACAGGTTTTTATCGGGGCTATGTTGCCTCTCTCTGCACTTATGTTCCAAATAGTGCAATGTGGTGGGCCTTCTATCATGCATACCAGGGTAATTATACATTGGATCTCTCTTCATATGTTAAAGTGTGTACATTGTTAAATCATGTAGCTGTATGTTCATTTTTATGTATTTACAGAGGAACTCCACCGAATACTACCCAACAATGTGTCTCATTTACTGATACAGTGTATTGCTGGGACTTTAGGAGGTTTCACCACAACAGTAATCACTAACCCTCTTGACATAGTCCGTGCAAGGTTACAAGTAAGTAATAAAAGTACACATGAGAAATGCTTCTTCTTCGCACAAACTTTTGTGGAACTAAAGTGGATACTTACACAATAATTGTCTTATCTTGCCGCAGGTTCAGAGGATAGAGTCAATGCAGAAGACTTTCCGAATATTGTGGAAAGAGGAGCACATGCGCATTTTCACAAAGGGTCTCTCTGCTCGTTTAGTGCAGTCTGCTTGCTTTTCCTTTTCCATCATACTTGGATATGAAACTATTAAAAGAATTAGTGTGAATGAGGAATTTAAAGAACATGTACATTGGTAGGATTAAAATATTTCTTAGGAAATGAGAGATTATGTTCAGACTTTGGTAATATTATTTATTTTCTTCCAACAAAGCATAAAGATCAATCATGTCTGCTTAAATTTTCCTTAAAACGATGCTTTCACTTCATTGTCTTTGAATTTGTTTGGACCAGTAACTGTTTTGGTACTGAAATAACATGGTCTGTGCAAATCTTCTACAGTGTAATCATGCTGTCGTCAAACTCATGACTAGGATCCCCTTTTATTTTAGAGTCTTCAATTTATGAAATAAAGAAAGCAACCATTTTATATTATCTTATTTTCTTCATCAAGGTATTTAGTTTCTTCAACAATGTATAGGCACCAAGACTGATTTGAATTATTAAACCATGCATTATACTGAGTGTGTCAAATTGATTTTGAAACCAGAGTGTTCTGTAATTTTCTTGTTGTTCAAAGTTTTGTTTAGCATACAGTATCATTGAGTTGACAACCCAAAGATTTCATTTGATTGCTAATGTCCAGAGGAATGTGATTGCTGCTTTTTGTCTGTTGAAGGAGAAAAGCCATGCACAGAGTTTGTGTTAAGGTTTCAAATAGGTATTAAAAACAACGTTTGTATTGCACAGTGGTATGTTTAGTAGTCATGCTTTTAATAAAAATAGTTAATATTTCATATAGAAAAATGACGACTCTTAAAAATTTCAAAAGTCAAAAGTTACATTTGTCAAGTATTTTTAATATTTCTTTACCAAATGTGTTTTTGTACATTGTCATGTTACTTTAATTCAGCTAGTGGCTGTGACAATACTGGTATGAAAATTTTAATGCTTTTTATGTTGAATTGAATGTTCCCACCTGTTATCAATGGAAATGTGTTGGTACAGTCAACATGTCTCACTGTGGGCTGTGTGTTATGTGTCATCCATTCTGTTTTATGATTTGTCCATCTTAATTTATTGCCTGTATCATGCGCGGGAGTGACTACTAAAATTCAAACGTTTCAATGCTGCTTCAGTTTGAGAAAAGCCTAGTTTAATGCTTTATGCACACCTGTTTAGTTCGACAAATATTTCTGTTCAGTTATAAATGCATTCATGAAACATTAATTTAAGTGACCATTGTTAAGTAAACCATGCGTTCCATATTACAATGTTGCTTTACCTTTCTGACATGGTGGCATTCAAATCATGAGTTTTCAAACCAGGTTCTACCCCTTACCATTTGTCATAATTTAGTGTCGGAGAGAGAAACTTCTCGCTCAAAATGTACTGTAAAACAATCTGGGACTGAAATCATGCATGTCACCGGACTGTTCTTTTCTTCTGCACTGTCAGAAGATGGCGCTACATTTATCTAATAGTTATCCTCAAAGTTCTGCCACTTGTTAAATTTTGTTGTTGTTATGTTTAAACATTCTGGTCAATTAGTACCTCTTCTTATTTTCTTTAGTTAAGTATTATTGAGTTATTTTTGTTGTAAAATGTAGGAGGTTTTTTTTTGGTTAATTGATTATGTGCCTTAAGTTTTAAGGATAAACAAAAAGAAATTGAGTCAAGGGATGTTGGTATGGTAGCCAAACAACCTGACTCTTTTAAGTTCTGACACTGGTGGACAATACTCCTAGATTAGAGCAATGCTTGTCATTCCAAGGTGTGCCTCTTTCATAAGCCCGTAGATCAAGTTCCTGTTATGCTAGAAAACTGTGATGTGTTAAATAATCATTGGCAAGCTGCGTTAAGATTACTTGGAAATCAAGTGGCCTTCAAGTGGGGGCTTCATGTCTTTTGAACTTTTGAAGCTGATTGTACTTTTTGTGGATAAGCTGGCCACCTTGAATGGAAACAAATATAGATATTAAGGGCACATTGTTCTGGTTGCTACTAGGTATTGAATTAAATCTTCTTCGTCTGCTCAACAAACAGACCATAAGTCCAAGGATCCTGTCCAAGGATGTCAGTAGAGGTTGACCATTTTTAGTTCTATTTGTTTTGTTTCATGTGTCAGGCAGAATGTTAATACGCACTACGTGGCAACATTGTTGATGTTGAGAGAGGGTGTTACTTGTGTCGTTAAGTGGTGCTGGTCACCACCTTTTTATTAAAGAAACGTTTTGAAAAGCGCATTGTTTTTCTCCCCTCCCCTGCTTGTTATGCACTATGCACCTGGTTCCTGGTCCCCAGTCGCTGTCCCTAGGCCGGGCGTGGCGTGGCGTGGGGCCGGCGGCGCCGCGGCACTCGGGACGACACGGGATGTAGGGGGAGGGCTGGGCTGGCTGGCTGGGCTAGGCAGGGCCTTGGGTCGGGTCTCGCTGAGTACCTCTCGCCCTCAGTCGCCTCGCCCTCAGTAATGAGGTCCTTAAAGGGACCAGGGTGGCGGAGCAGGCGGGGCAGGCCGTGGTGAAGGACTGCTTCTGCCAAACACGGGTGTCGAGTCGAACGGCCGCCGTGTGACCCATGCGTCACCCCCAGCTAGCTGGGCAGAAAACAACACCACAAATCGGACAGAATGCCGAGGACTCCGGAGCCCCTCGCGCGCCGTGGGGAAGTCCAGCCGCAACGCTCGGCAGGATCGGAGGGACCGCGGTGCTTAGCGGGACCAAAAGGGTCCTCGCCTGGCGTCGCCTGGTAATGGGACGGGCATAGCGCTAACGCAAGGCGCAGCGCTAACTCAAAGCTACCACAGCTGCCGAGGCCCGAACCCGGGGCGAGTTTCCGAGACACTTTCTAGGCGCCCCGCACCGCGCAGTGAGCGACCCCACTACACTGCACTGCACTGTACTGTACTGTAGCGCATCGAGCGCACCGAAACAGCACGCGTCTTTTTTGCGTTGCCCGGAATCAATGATGGCGGCGCATCGCGTGGCGCATCGCGTGGCGCATCGCGTGGCGCATCGCGTGGCGCATCGCGGCTCGATCGGCCTCGGCAGTCCTTGGGCTGCATGCTGCATCGCGTCACGGCGCCGGCCACCCTCCCTCGACCACCACGAGCACCGCCATGAGCACGAGGGGCCACCAAATCCTCCCCAAGTTCATTCGGATATTTCTTGAGGATCACCGTTGCGAAATTGTTTAAGGATTGATGGAAAAGTTGAAAAATGCACAAAAACGGTTTTAAATGACCGGAGTTGAAAAATGGGGGACTTTTGTTCAAGGCCTTCGGATTGGCGCCCATGGATTACCAGAGATGGACCAGCCGCACGGATCCAGGGGTGGTGGCCCCCGTCCATGGGGGCACCAGGACGCCGGCCGTCAAACATGCCCCCGCATCGCACCACTTTGGGCTTAGGCCCCTTTTTTGACCGGGTGTTTTTCCCCTTGTATTGGGGAAAAGTCTGGGGGCCCAAAGGGGCCTCGCCCCAGCGGGGGGGGATTTCCTTGAGCCCGGAGGCAACAATGGCGGGGGGTCCTTCCCCCTTCCCGGTCCCGGGCCCTTGGGTTCCCGCCGCGCCGGCATTAAAATTTACCAAGGGCCGGGAGGGGGTTTTCCCCCCGCGCACCACGCCCAGGGGTGGGGGCCGCGGTTTTTTCCCTTTTGAACCGGGGCGGGCCTAAAGGGGGGCAGGGGGGCGGTGGGGGCGGCGGGGGCGGTCCGATTCAAAGCATGCCAAGCACCAGCAAGCACCAGCTTTCCAAGGTACTTACGCCCCCATTGTTGTGCCGTGATGGACTTTCTCCCCATTGTTTCTGCGGATCCTCTCAGGATGCCGTCAACATGGAGTGAGCGGAGAGCGAGAGGTCGTCAACACAGCGAGGAGAGGACGAGAGGGCGCCCTCTCATCCTTGCCAGCGTTGCCAGGCAACAATGGCGGAGTCAGATGCAATTGTTTCCTTCCTCTTTCTCTTCCTCGTCCCGTGTGTTTCCCTGTGCTTCACCGCCGCGCCGGCACGGTTCAAATTTACCAAGGGTTGGGTGTGGAGGGGGCTTTCCCGCCTTGACATGCACCGCGCCGGCAGCATGTTGCGTGAAGGCGACACCCTGCAAGGCTTATTTCGTGCTTCATTGAACCGTGGGATCGTCCTTAAAGGACGTACAGGCTAAGGGCGGGTCCGTATCGCCAGCGAGCGAGCGCAGCGAGAGCAGCGAGAGCAGCGAGAGCTCCTGGTAGCGACTTACGCTTGGCCCCGTGTTCCCCGTCCCCGTTCCTCCCTTCCCTGCCACGGCGGAGGGCTGCGCGCTGAGCCCCACCTGACCTGACCCAGGCGGACCCAGGCGCACCCAGGGATTGCTGCGCGCTGCGTGCGCTGCCTGCCGGCCTATGCCGGGGGCCTGGCCTAGCCGAGGCCGCGCGCCGCGCCGAGTTTCCCTTAGTTTCTCGTTGCGCAGGGACCTCCCTGCCTCTCCCTCTCCCTCTCCCTCCCCGCGACGCGACGTGACCACATGCCTGCGGTTTCGAACCTGGATGCGGTGCGGCGCGCGCCGAGCGGGGCCAGGGCGGCCTGGGCGAGGCGCAACCAGTGAGACAACTTGGGCGGGTGGAGGAGGGCTCAGTGCCTGCGGGGCACTGCGGGGCCGGAGGAGTACGGGTCCGGGTCGGGGAGCCCCGGCCGTGGCTACCCGCGGCATGAGGATCATGGGGCGCTCGGGGACGGCGGGGCGAGGCGGGGCGGGGCGGGGCGGGGCACCAAGGGGCCACCGGACACACTCGTTGCGGCGCGTTGCGGTGCAGGGCAAGGCGGCAAGGCCTGAACAGGGCGGGGCCGGGCGTGTGTGCCTTGTAAAGCAAGCCCTTCCCGGTCCGTCATGGTCCCTTGCCAACAGTGTCCACAGACTGACAGGCGTCGGCCGACACATGCGCGCTTGCTGCCTGCCGCTGCCTGCTCCCCCTCAGCCTCCCCACGCCCCTCCCCCCGGCCGCGGCGTGCGCAGCGTGCGCGGCGTGGGTGTGGTAGGGGTGGGGCGTGGGGCGGCGCGGCCGCGGTGGGGCTCAGATGGTCCTGCGCGCCCCTCGCGAGCGGACGGCGACGCCAGGCACGAGGACGCCCCGCTCCGGCCCGCCCCGTGCCACCACGCCGCCAAGCCGCCACGCTGACGGCCGACGGCAGGCGTGCCTTTGCCCCACGCCTCGCGCCTCGCTCAAGTCGCACGCCCCGCACGCCCCGCACGCCCCGCGAGGGGCCTGGCCAGCCCGGCCAGCGCGGCCAGCCCGGCCCCGCGCCTGTCAGGGCCCCCGGTGCCCCCGGTGATGTGTGACCCTGCGCCCTCGCCCTCGCCGCCCAGTGCTCCCGCATCGCCCCGCACCGCGCCGCCGCGCCCCGCGCCGCCGCGCCCCGCGCCGCCCAGCGCCGCCGCCATCAGCGACAAGCACCGCGCCAAGCTCTACAAGCAGGTCGTGTCCGTGCCCGGCGTCGCGGCATGGAAGCTGGATCCAAAGGTGAGGTTGCCCTCGTCGCGTCCCGCCGCCCCACCTGTTGCCGCGCACGGCCGTGGCGCTCACGAAGCACGGCCCGCGAAGCACGGCCCGCGAAGCACGGCCCGCGAAGCACGGCCCGCGAAGCACGGCCCGCGAAGCACGGCCCGCGAAGCACGGCCCGCGAAGCACGGCCCGCGAAGCACGGCCCGCGAAGCACGGCCCGCGAAGCACGGCCCGCGAAGCACGGCCCGCGAAGCACGGCTGGCGGAACGCCTTGCGGGTTACGGGACTAAAATAGTGCTCCCTCCGGCGGACACTTTGAAGATGAAAAGCAGCGCCCACCGCGTCGCCATACTCGCCCACCGGGCAGAGGTCCTTTCATCTATTTTTTTTTCGGCTCCTTTTTTTGTTTCGTCTTTTCAAAGTTGTTGTCTAGTGTGCCAGCTAAATCCGGAACAACGCTACACGGCACGGAGCGAAACGCCTGGCTTTTTCGAAAGCCATTACCTCGCGGTGCGGCATAGCTTTGCAATCAATAATTTCTGACTTGGCGATTTTCCCGCGCAACTTTTCTAATTAGTTAGTGAGTTTAAAGAGAAGCCGCAGCGTAGTGGCTTCTGCAGATTTTAAGGAGTCGCTGCGGGGCTCAGCATCTCGCCTCCCCCTTCTCCCGGAAAAAGTGAAGCAAAATGTTTATCACGGCAGAATTGTTGTGTAACTCTGCATATTACGATCCGACGGGGCGGGCACGATCGCTCTCAGTTTGTCTAATTTTTCTTCCTCCTTCCTTCGCAAAGTTCAGGCGCGGGGTTGTGCCACCGCAGGGAAATGGGCTGCGGGATCGGCTTGACTTTATCTTCGGCCAGGGGCGTGTTCTTTCGGCAAGTTTCGTCAAACAGTGTGCCTTACACGGTGGCGTTTTCCGCAGGCAGCTGCTGAGCTGCCACAGCGCGTGGGGCGGGGCGGGGCGGGCGGGGCGGGCGGGGCGGGCGGGGCGGGCGCGGAGTGCCAAGAGAACGGCGGGAATTGAATTTGAAAAGTGGCGCGCTTTGTTGCCGTTGCCCCCTCCCTCTCTCGTCGTAACAAAGTTTGCGCCGCTTTGTCATCAAGTGACAATGAGCGCGGTCCCAGGCCCTTGTCGTCGGTTCGAATACCACTCGGCCGCCATTTTGGCACACTTTCCTTTGCCTACGCGCTGCCGACACTACGATGAGTCCGAGAGAGTTTTGGCCGCATCCCCCCGTATCGAGAACGTGAACGTGATGAGCTTGGTTGGGCCTGATTCAACGACTGAGAAGTTGGCCCACGTTCTGGGGAACAGAGTCGATGGGTTTCACGTTGTGTCGAAGTGCCGTGGCAGTCATGGCCCGTTGCGCCAGAATCAAGTTGGGGTCCGGAGCCCGGCCAGCCTGCCTGCCTGGCACTGACACCTGGACTGAAGCCTCCCCAACCACAGCGTGGCTTGTCTGTCTGTCTGTCTGTCTGTCTGTCTGTCTGTCTGTCTGTCTGTCTGTCTGTCTGTCTGCCCGTCTGTCTGCGTTTGCCCATCTAGAATGAGAAACCTAGACAGGAAACGCCGGGACAGCTTGCGACCCGTTCGAGCACCGTGACCCCCTAGTGCCGACTGGCCGACTGCCCAAAGAAGTAAACAGGTCCAGCTGGTCCAACTTCCGAAGCGGCTCGTCAGACGGACCGACGGACGGACAAACAGACAGACAGACGGACAGACAGACAGACAGACAGACAGACAGACAGACAGACAGACAG